CGTGTTGCGGCTGCGCCGGGGCTGAAATAGCTGGAGATTGCGCGGTAGGGCACTCACCTCAGAGCGGCTGCGCTACCGTGGGCCTGCGCCGTGGAGACTGCGACCGCGCCGGCTCCTCGCAGCCTCCTGCCACCAGCGGCAATGGCGAGCGCTGCCGCCTCTGCCGCCGCCGCCGCCGCCGAGGAGGGGGGATGGGTAGGAGGAGGCACGCACGCGACGCACGGCTCGGCCTCCCCGCCCGATGGCCGCCATGATGCCAAGGTTGGCGCGGCTCGGCTGGCTGGGGCGGGGGCTTTCGGCGGGGTCCCCGCAGGTTCCCCCGCCGACTTCCCGAGTTCTGCGGCTTCACCCACTTCGACTCAGGTCACAACTACGAAAGGAGCTAGATTAGCCAAACGTGGACGCCGCCGAGGAGAGGCGCACGCAGCCCAAAATGGTTGCTGATCTGGTAAAAGTACCGTCTGTGCCCCGCCAGCCGGGGAGTGGGGACCTCCCGAAGCCGCCCAGGGTCCCCGCCGGTGCCCGGCGCCGCCCGGCCCGTCGCAGCCTCGCCGTCTTTTCGCGGTGTCCTTGGCTTCCACGTTTCAAAGCCCTACCCAGATACGTAAAAAGTTTTTCTACACAGCATAATAGCCACTTCTTCCCTCGTCTGTTGGCGAACCTTTCCCGGGGGGCCATTTCTGTGCCGAATATTGTTTTGGGTGCTCTGGAGATGCACCTGCTAGGGCCGGGGGAGGGAGGATCGATCTCTTTCTTTCTCTCTCTTTCTTTCTTTCTTTCTTTCTCTCTTTCTTTCTTTCTTTTTAGGGTGCCTAAAAAATAAAGAGGAGTAAACAGCAGAGTGTTGAAAAAAAAGTTTTATTTTTTTCAGAAGACAAAACAATACCCTTTTTACTTTTAAAAAAACTCTGGTGAAAATAGGTTTCCATATGACATCTCCTCCTTAATTCTTTTTTATTTTTGTTTTATTTTTGCCTGCCCTGGGGCTTGAACTCGAAGCCTAGGCGCTGTCCCTGAGCTTCCTTTGCTCAAGCAAGGCTAGCACTCTACCACTTGAGCCACAGCACCACTTCCGGATTTTTTCTGAGTAGTTTATTGGGGCTGGGATGTAGCTCAATGGCAAAGAGCTTGCCTGGCAAGTGTAGCATTGGGTTTGATCCTAAGTACCAAAGGAGAAAATACAAAGTATATATTTTAATTTTTTTATGTTTGTTTGATTTTTAATGTAACTTGTCTTTATTATTTTTTTGGTCAGTCATGGAGCTTGAACTCTGTGCCTGGGCTCTGTCCCTCAGCTCTTCAGCTCTAGGCCAGCGCTTACCACTTGAGCCACAGCACCACTTCCAGCTTTTTTCTTTTTGCTTACCTGGTGCTGAGGAATTGAACCCAGGGCCTCATGCATGTGAGTCAAACACTCTACCACTGAGCCACCTTCCCAGCCCCAAAGTATATATATTTTTTTCAGTTTTTTATACTCAGTTAACTGAGTGTTGGAGACTGGAGATGTGGTTTTTAAAATAACATCAGGAGGCTGTCTCCATCAGAATCACTAAGATTCATGGTTTAAGCCTGAGGCACAATTGAATGGAATTTTAGCTTCGCTGGTCTAGGAATCTACTTTTTTTTTTTTTTAATGTAACTACATCCACTCCTAACAGGGTGGGTTGTATGTGTTTGTGTGTCAGTCCTGGGGCTTGAACTCAGGGCCTATGCCCTGTCCCTGAGCTTTTATGCCCAAGACTACTAGTCTTCTACCACTTGGGAGCCACAGCACCAGTTCTGGCTTTTTAGTAATTAATAGAGGAGAGTCATGGATTTTCATACCCTGCCTGGCTTTGAACTGAGATCCTCAGATCTCATCCTCCTGAGTAGAATTACAGATGTACAGATGTGAGCCCACCAACCCCCTGCTCTAACTGGTGGTTTTTATGCACACTAGAGTGTAAGAACCATTGCATTAAGGAATTGCTAAATGTCTCACTGTGCACCAGAAATTGGCTTAATTAGGAAGCATTACTAGTCAAGAAAATTTCATTTTCCTCAATACTTCAACATATCCAAAAGTTGAATGTTTTCCTCCATACACACACCCTCCTTGGGTGTTTTCTAAGATAATGAATATCACCATCAACTCTCCAGGTGCCCAAGCTAGAAATATGATGGCCCCTCACACATAAGCAGACCAAGTAGATATTTATCATTGTTGTTCCGTGTCATTTTTCTTTCTTGGTTCAGGCTGGTGTCATATCTCCTGAAAATACTATGCCATGGCCTTCCTCCACTATGGTTGCCCTCTCTAATCCATTCTCCACACCTCAGCTTGAATGACTTTTTTTTTTTTTTTTTGGTCAGTTGTAGGGCTTGACTTCTGGGCCTGAAAGCTGTCCCTGAGGTCTTCAGCTTAAGGCGAGCGCTCTACACTTGTGCCACAGCGCCACTTCCTATTTTCTGAGTGGTTTATTGGAGATTAGAGTCTCGTGGGGGTAGAGTGGTAAAGTGCTCAGTGGTAAAGTGCTTGCTTAGCATGCATGAAGCTGTGAGTTTGATTCCTCAGTACCACATAAACAGAAAAGGCCAGAAGTGGTGCTGTGGCTCAAGTGGTAGAATGCTAGCCTTGAGCTGAAGAGCTTAGGGATAGCACCCAGACCCTGAGTTCAAGCCCCATGGCCAGCAAAAACAAAAAGATTTCATGTAAGGATCCTCAGGCTGGGAAGGTGGCTCAATGGTAGAGTGCTTGCTTTGCATCATGAGGCCCTGGATTTGATTCCCCAGTACCACATAAGCAGAAAAAGGTGGAAGTGGCACTGTAGCTCAAGTGGTCGAGTGCTAGCCTTGAGCTGAAGAGCTGAGGGACAGAGCCCAAGTCCACAGTTCAGGCCCCACAAACAAACAAAGCTTGGGCTGGCTTTGAACTGTGATCTTCAGGTCCTGAGTAGCTAGGATTAGAGGCATGAGCCACCAGTGCCCAGCTTTCAATGTATTCTTAACCACAACCAGCATCTTTCTTTCTTTCTCTCTTTCTTCCTTTCTCCAGTCCTGGAGTTTGAACTCAGGGCCTTTGCACTCTACCACTTTAGCCACAGCACCACTTCTTGCTTTTTCTGTTTATGTGGTATTGAGGAATCAAACCCAGGGCTTCATGCATGCTAGGCAAGAACTCTACCACTAAGCCACATCCCCAGCCCCCATAACCAGCATCTTTCTGACTGCAGGTCTATCCATTCATCAAGCACAAAACAAACAGTGGATCATAGCCATCATTTATAAAAATAGATAATATCTCAAAACATCCAACTTAGTCTTTTATGAAATTTTTGTCAATTTTCTATGAGAAGTATTTACAATATTACATTGAAAATACCAAATTGCACAGAGTAGTGCCAAGGTTAACATGAAAGAAGGAATACTAGGCTGGGAAGGTGGCTCAGTGGTAGAGCGCTTGCCTTGCATGCTCGAGGCCCTGGGTTCGATTCCTCAGCACCACATAAGCAAAAAGAAAAAAGCCGGAAGTGGCGCTGTGGCTCAAGTGGTAGAGCGCTAGCCTTGAGCTGAAGAGCTGAGGGACAGCGCCCAGGCCCAGAGTTCAGGCCCCACGACCGGACCCAAAAAAAAAAAAGAAAGAAAGAAGGAATACTGTTGATGTGATTGGGGGAAGGGAATGGTTCTAAGGCTTGAACTAAGGGCCTAGGCTCTGTCCCCTGGACATTTTCCCCTCACTGCTGGTGCTTTGCCACTTGAGCCACAGCTCCATTTTCAGCTTTTTGGTGCTTAGTTGGACATAAGAGTCTCATGGATTTTCTTGCTCAGGGCTGGCTTTAAAGATCCTCAGATATCAGCCTCCTAAGTAGTTAAGACTACAAGCAGAGTCGCCAGCACCCAGCTAGATATGATTTTTTTTCATCAACCTTATATTTCCTTTCAAACTTTGGGAATAAGTGACACCATCTCAAGCACACTGAGAAAACAAATCAAGCACACTGAGGTTACTGCCCCTAATCCAATTTGGCTTACCTTTACAAGATTAGAGGATTCTTGTTTCAAAGGCTGCCTTGGCCAGAGATTTTATTTATTTATTTATTTTGCTAAGAAATACCACAGAGAATTTTCTACTACTATGAATACACCAAACCAGTAGCTGATGGATCACCTGTAAACCTAGCTACTCAGGAGACTGAGATGTAAGGATCACCATTTTAAGCCAGGCCAAGCAGAAAAGTCCTTTTAAGAACTAAAGTCCAATTAAGAGCTAAAAAGCCAGAAATGGAGCTATGATTCAAGTGATTGGAGTACTATCCTTGAGCACAAAAGCTCAGGGATAGAATCCAGGACCTGAGTTCGAGCCCTAGGACCAGAAAACAAACAACAAACAAATCCCACCTAGTCCCTAGTATATAAATGCTGTGTTCACGTGGTTTTCCGCAGACTCTTTTCTTTGAATTAGATGCTTATCATTTCTTATCTAGATTTCTTGCCTATTGATTAGGTTAAGAGTGATAACATTTGGACAGTTTTGAGTGACTCGTGCCTGTGATCCCAGCTACTCTGGAGGCTGAGATCTGAGGATCACGGTTCAAAGACAGCCTGGGCAGGAAAGTCTGTGAGACTCTTATCTCCAATAAAAACCACCAGAAAACTGGAAGTAGTGCTGTGGCTCAAGTAGTAGAGCAAATTCACCTTGAGCTGAAGAGCTGAGGGACAGTGCCCAGGCCCAGAGTTCAAGCCCCATGACTGACCAAAAAAAAAAAAAGTGATAACATTCTGATATCTCCATTTTCTTCCCCTCTTGATTAAGTAGTCTCTTCACTGGATAATTAAATGTGACATTCTTTTCCTATGCTTGCCTCCCAGCCACAATCCAGAAAACATTCAAATAAAGAAAGGTGGACAGGTCCTAATGGCCTCCTTGAGAATTAACATAGTGCAACATGTAGCTTTTGACTGTTTTGAATAAGGACTTAAGTCATAGCAGTGTGGCTTCACCAGAGGTAGATCTAAAACATGAATTTGGCCACTAGAATCTAAAGGTTTCTCAAGTTCCTCCCTGCCTTGTCTTCCTTACTCCTCCCTAGGTGGAGACAGCAAAAATTTCCATTTCTCCAAAACTCACAGGAGAAAATCTTGTTAAAATTAGAGATTTGGTTGGTGGTAGAGTGCTTGCCTCGCATGTGTGAAGCCCTGGGTTC